GGCCCCGACCCCCCCCCCCCCCCACTTTTGGAAAGTAAAAAAAAGGAAAGAAAAAAAAGAAAGGAAAATAAAAAACTGATCGCCCAAAATGCCTCAGAGGTTATTTTTGGGTGTCTACAAAACAAAAATTTCGCAGGGGCATGGCCCCGACCCCCTACGATGATGTTAACTCGATCGGCCCTACTTTGGGCCCTCCTTTCAGACATCTCTGGATCCGCCCCTGGCACTGATATGATGCGATTTCTAACTGTTTGCAGCAACAGCACGTTCGGGTGAATGTTATTCCGAGTCTGGAAGTTCCATTTCCAGGAATCTAGAGGTTGTTCAAAACTTGCTCACCTCAGCCCCAATCATAGTGAGTGGATATTTTGGTGGTTGGAAAATTTCTAGTGGCAGGGTAAGAGAACCTGGAATGCAAGTTTGTTTTTTTCAAAATTCTAAAATAAAATGGAGAAGAAAAGAAAATTATATTCAAATATAAATCTTAGAGTGCCATTTCTGACCATCTAGAGGTGCCATAATCATAAATTTTCTTACCTATAGTACTCATCCAAATAATAAAATGAATTCTTTAATACTCTCATATTAAACAGTTAATATTTAACCTGCAACCATGGCAACAATATACCATCAGCTGGAGGAACAACAGAGTTGAAGGTTTATCACAAGGGACTCCCTAGCATTTGTTGTAGCAAACCTTAGTACAATGTAGATCGTCATCGTTCAGAAAATTAACATGCACAAGACTCTTTTATGTGGTCACCTCCCTTAAGAGATTGGAGGAAGCTATGAGGCATACCAGAATTTCCTATAATCACATTTTTAAACAGAAAAGTATAGTAGAGATACACTCCATATGAATTTATTCCAATTTGAACATAACAAAGTCCGAGATTGATTCCACAATCGTGTTTGATTGATGAGAGCACATCATTTATTTTAAGTTTAAAGATAATTCCAATTTTTTTTATATTTTTAAAATTTTAATTTGTATATAAGAAAAAAAATTAACAGATTTACATAAATATGAAAATTCAAAAGATTAACCAACTTTGCTATGATCAATTTTCCCTTCTTATTTCTCCAATTCATTTAAATACAATATAATTTCTATTGTAATGCAAAAGAAGAAAATATTGTCGACTCGAAGGATGGACATCAATTTTCTCTTGCTTCAAGTTGATATAATTTATAATTGCGGCAGTGCAGTCTCTACTGTACATCTGATTAACTCAAACACAAAATGTAACTAACTGGTCAAATTAAAAGCAATTAATATTAATTTAACTCCGTGCTCCAGTTCATATTGCACTGTTTCTTGATATCCTGCTAAGTTCATTGGCGCATCTTGTTCATTAAAATCAATTTAAATAAATTGATGTTAAAAAACTTTAAATTGATGTTTCATACACCATAAAACATTCTAGTAGAATCGGCTAAACGTCTACTTGTGAACGACATATTCTGTACAAACTTAACTTTCTTACATTTTAGGATTCATCCAGGAATAGAGTCTAAGAGTCTAACATAAATAGCCTCCCGTCGGGGAGAGCCGCAGCCTCCCGTCGGGGAGAGCCACCCCCTCCCCTTAGGGAGAAAAACACACATTGTCGAGAAGAAAACAATTAAATATTTTTGGCATATTAGTACTCTAAAATTGTTGAAATGAGCCTTTGAAACCCCTAAATTGCCATAGTTTCCGTGGGCCAAGCTCACTTACGTTCTATTCAGAGAGTCGGCCTCCCCATCTGGGACATCAGACCCCCCCCCCCGTCGGGCAAATCCTTGCACTACCCATGACTTGAGCATAATTCTTTGCTCACTAAATATCCAAAGAAGGGGGAGAGTGGGGAGGGGACTGTTGGTTTTAGAGGAAGTTTCCCCCATGCCTTCCTGTAGATATGCTACTGCTATCTGCAGATTGTTGGTGGTAGTCAAAGGGTACATAGAAAAAATTATTAAATTATCACTCATTTTTAAAAAACAAATTGATGAGGGCGGGAAGTTTTTTTTAATCGATGAGGGAAGGACTGCTTTGATTTGGCCTATTAGAATGCAGGCCTTTCTCTTCCTACTTAGGCCAACTTTTCTGATGTCATAGTTATTTTTTGGCTAGCAACCAACCAATCCAACCAATCACACCCATCACAAGTGAAGACCGCCCATTTGTAAATGCATGATGTACCAAGTTATTTTTAGCAGCGCGAGTCTTATTTTTGGAACGTGTAAGTCTTCACGCTGTGAATTAATGATCCAAATCAGCTCAATGGGCAGGTCTCTTTAAGGACAGACCATGGTGCTGTATATTTTTAGCCACTGTTAGCAAGCTGTTTATTTTTAGTGACAGTAAACAACAAGAATTTAAAGAATAGGCTTTGTATTCAATTGGAAGAGTTTGAAGTTTGCTGAATTCTGAGCCAATTCTTTTACATTTTGTAAGCATTTGTTTTTTGCGAAGTTTTTTTATGCTGTTCAAATACATGATACGGCCAAAAAAAAAAATTATTATTCCCGCATCAATCTTTGCTAAATTTCTGATGCAGGTGAGAGTGATATCTAATAATTTTTTCTATGTGCCCTACTAAGCTGATCACCATTAAAAAAACGATCCTTTGTGTACACATCATGTTCTCCATAAAATCGCGTCAGCCAATGACCCTTGGTGCAGTGAGTCAATGGTTTTAGGATGTCCTGGGTTACTTCAAAGTGCAAACAAGAGAGTTTGTATACAGTACAATAGTACATAAGAAGAGGGTTAGAGATTTATCCATGTTCAACCTGGCCACTGTTGATTCTTTGGGAAAATCATGATTTGTTTTGCCTGATCGCTCAACCTTTCGGGATTTTTTTTTAATTCCCAGGAAGTTCTCATTTATATTTGCTACATTTTTACTTTAAAAGCACAAACATTTTAGAATATAGGCTAATTTAAACTCTCTTTAAAATAGTCTATCAAATTATAACTGTCTTTATAATATTACTGTAAACATTCAATGGAACGGTTTCATATGATACAAAATGTATTCTTTCTACTTGGTACTATTGGTGCTATAATACACAAGGCAGGTACACTCCTGTAAGCATTGTATTTAATTGCATATATGCGTAGCATCATAGCTGCCAGACTGAATGCTTATAAGTCACTTCCTTCCACAAAGACAGGGCTGAAATGAACAGGAGCACTAGCACTGGTATCCCATACTCTTCAAAAAGATGATCAAATTTCTTGTAGGTGTACGCAAGGCAGTTGAAAATGCGGAAAATCCATTCCCACATTTTGAAAAGAAGGGCCAATATTTCCAATTCAAATCTTGTAGAATTGGCCTAGGCCTACAGTATATGCATCCTAAAATAAGAGGTCACATAGAAAAAATTATTAGATTATCACTCTTTTTTTTTTTTTAAATTGATGAGGGAGGGCAGTTTTTGGTTTTTTCTTTTCAATCGGTACAATAAATTATTTTGCTTTTGTTTTTATCGATGAGGGAGAGACTGTTTATATTTGGCCTGTACCAGGGCCTGTAATAATAGTAAATATTGTTTAAAAACTGATTTAATTTTATAGTTTTTTAAAGAAAATGTCACAAAATTGTATTGTTTTTATGCTGTTGAAATAATTGATAATTGATTGAAAAAAAAAAATTTTTTTATTCCTGCATCAATGCTTCCCGGATTTCTGATGCGGGCGGGAGTGATAATCTAATAAATTTTTCTATTTGCCCTAATATGCATTGTGTATTAAGTACGGTATGTTGTATGCACAGAGCATACAGCATCTCGAAAAAAACCTAACGGAAACTTGCATGGACAATCGCAATGGAAAAAAAAGTGTGCAGAAACATAACTAGGGCCTAGAACTGCTTAATAATATACATTTTTTTTTTTGCAAAAACTGCGCCAAAAATCAGCCTTTTTTCCCTCGAAATGTGCAGAGAGAATCCTAGGCCTAATTTTTGCGTGGGGGATATATACGCAAGCCTTATTTGACAGTCTGGCCTAGGCTTAGTAAGTATGGTGGCATAACATAGGCCTAGATAGTACATGGGCCTAGTCTAGCCGGTCTAGGCTAGGCCTAACCTAAGCTTAGGCTACCTAGGGCCTAGGCCTCCTAGCCTAGGCCTAGTTGAGGGTTAAGTTATTTAATTTAAAGTTAAATTCAGTTTCTTCACACTAATGAAAATCTCAAACAACATCGTCTATCAGGTGATTGGTGCAAATATTCATATCCACACAGTTGAATAAATTAAATATTCTATGGGCCTAAGCCCCTAGGCTAAACCGGGTCTCAACATGAGCCTCAGATGCATCAATCCAGGGCAATGCGGGCGGACACTGCACGGTTCAAGTTCGCAGACGAGGAATCGGCAAGCATGGATGGGCCTGGCTGCAACTTACCGATCGTTGAAAATCTCCAAGCCATGTCGATGCTCTTTCCTTTTCGGCAACATCTGGATTGTGATACAGAGTTTGGACTGCCTGTATGACAGTGTCAACAGGAGGAGCTGCCTGCATGATTTTACAAAGTGCAAAAAAGAAGTTTAACTTCTTATCTTTCTAAGCTACTTCCACACGAATACTTCACAACATGGAGCTGTGTCAAAGGGCAAATAAGAAGATTTACATTTCATCCGGGTCAGGGTTCATAGAATTCCAAGTCGTACTGCTGTACTATTATTTTAGTGTCAGTACTGAAATAACGAAACATTAATTAATATATACATTATTTTTTATCTTAAGTTATTGGTATCATTATAGTGGATGATATTACTCTTGTTTTAAAGTCTAATAGTAATACGTCATTCGTTAGATTCAATTTTTATTTAAAAATCGTTCATTCGATTCAACGTAGGTTGTGGACAGGAAAGCTTACAATAAAACTTTTCATTACTTGGAAAGAATTGTTTTAACGCCGCCAAATAATGTAAGGACATGTTCAAATGATTGGATGCTTCATGATGCACTGCAAAATTGTCTTATGTATGCAAGAACTTAGAAGACTTGCAAATCCAGTAGGCCTACCAGTATTAGTGCCAGTACTGAAATAACGAAGCATTAATTAATATACTGTACATTATTTTTTATTTTAAGTTATTGCATCGTTATTGTGGATGATATCACTCTTGTTTTAATTCTAATAGTAATACGTCATTCATTATATTTAATTTTTATTTTAAAATCATTCATTCCACGTAGGTTGTGGACAGGAAAGCTTAACAAAGAACTTTCATTACTTAGTAGGAAAATACAATTTAGAACTGGAAAGAATTATTTTAACGCCGCCAAAAAATAATTTAAGGACATGCTCAAATAATTGGATGCTTCATGATGCACTGCAAAATTGCAATTATGCGAACCCAGATGTCTTATGTATGCAAGAACTTAAAAAGACTTTATCATCATCATCTTCCGTTATTGTGCATAACATCGGTTGAGTAAACTCGCACAATGTGTTGTACAGCATGCACTCAGCAATAACCTAACACTTTATGAAACCAGGTGTACAGATAGCTGTCTCTTATACACATCTAGATGTGTATAAGAGACAGGCACAGTTGTCTCCTGAGGCCCTCCACACGCAGGTGTTCGCATGACGACAGGGCAGTATGCATGGGGTCTAGTGGGGTCCACCAAGAGCTAGTTTCTCGACTCTGCCACCGTCCACTGCATGGCAACTGCGCTGACCGGATCGAATGAATTTAGTTTTGTTTGCAAAAACAAATCTCTATCCCATGAAGGACATGTGTTTTGACAGGGCTAAAATTTAAGAAAGATTGGGTAGCAATTGCTTTAAAGAAATTATAAAGAAATTACGAGTATAACTCACAGCCTCTTTACTAAGGTAAGTAATATATCTTGGTTATGCTTTCGATTTTTACAAACTTGAAAATCAATGACTTGGAAATTACATATCGCGTACCAAATGAAGCCACAAAGAGTGGCGTATCTAGGGGTTCGAGTTAGAGCCCCACGTGACATTTGCGCTCCCCTATCAGCCCCCTCCCACCCACCATTTCAAGACTCTATACGCCACTGGGCACAAATAGACACAGAGATGGAAATCACTTTGATTAAATTCAATTCAATCCAATTCAAAAAGACATTTATTTCCTTCCAATTGCAGTCAAATAATAAAAATCATAGGTTTATGAGACAAAATCAAAAGGAACTTCGAAGGCACTTGCCAGAGAAGATTCAATAAAAAAAAATCTTGTGTCGGGCATGCCTGAACACAAACTAAAAAATGCACATACAGAGACCCCAAACAACAAACAAACCAAGACACAACACATGACAAAAGAACATTGTTTCAAGGCGAGCAGTACAAGCATCACAACAGAACATGGTTTCAAGGAGCAGCAAGTCGAGTTTAACGACCGTTAAAAATTATTTTAGTATTGCGAAGCAAGGGGATTCCTGAGTTGTTTGGTAAATGACCTCACGAGTTTAAAATTGTGGATGGTAAATTTTTCCAGAGTATAGGACCAGTGTATATAATATTGTGTTGAAAATATTTAGTGTTATGATAGGTATGTGAATATCATTTCTGGATCGAGTACGATAATTGTGAATGGAGTGATTGAGGATAAAAGTTGTTACTTGAGGAGAATAGAATTAATGGCAGTGAATAATAAGAAAGTATACCTTGTTGCATATGGTTATAATATCAGAGAGTTTGAGAAGGTTTAAATTTGAAATACCACTGTCAGTGATAAAGTAAATTCATCATCAATATACATTGCAGTCAGAAGAGAGTGACCGATATACTGTTCAATCACCAACATAAGGTGGGCTTACCTGGGTTATAGCATGGAGGTATGGTATACCGGTATTGTGTACACCAAATAAATCCAATCCAATGAATCCAACCATGAAAGGTGCTTAAATTCAGGACCTGATTGGAGCTTCATGATAAAGTAAACTGTTACCTTTTTTTTATTGTTACCTTTTTTTATTATTGCAAGCTATTGCAAGCCCCTGGACCAATTGCAAGCTATTGCAAGTCCCTGGACCAATTTTGGCCTAATACTAATTGAGTGATCTCAACTGTTGCCAAACATGGACTAGCATCACGTGCAGCGGCGGATGATTACGTAAGTAATATTACTCAATGTCAATGACGACAGTGAGTATGTTAATTTTGAAATACGTCATGATATCCCAGTGAATTAAACATTCATTTTTTTAAATTCTAACATTAAAATCATCTTGGAAAGACATTCAATATGTGATAAATTAAATAAATTACATGTTAACTTTACCGGTATGGGTTTATTTTCACGTCGATTCATTTAATAAATATTCAACAACTTGACGGTACACTGTCTAAAAAACATGTACTATAAAAGTCGGTGACTGGTTATAATAGAATTGTGAGCGGGGTAATAACATGGGCAGTTGTGGCTTACTTCTATGTCCCAGTTTGCTGTAATTGGAATCAGGACATTTCAACACACATTTCAACACGAGGCTGTATAATCTGTTCCAGAGTCAAAAGTAACTGCATGGTTCATGATGCACGGCCCTGTTGATACTTGCATGCATGCACTTACTGACTAGTCACACGTTATACCCGATCACATTTTTTTCTTCTTTTTATATATTTTGGATACAGTATCTGGGCTCACTATATCACCTAGTTTTATGATGCCTCCTTTCTCGGCACTTGCGTCGACCTACATACTTAACTAACGTTCAGTCAATGATTTTGAATTGCATAAAAGTACACATAGTTTACAGCAGATTCTTAATTTTGTTTTATTACCATGGTCGGCAAACTAATTGATGTTATAAATTTATAAATATAAGAGGTGTGGCATAAATATTTCACCGCTTGCTCTGTATACCAACACTACGGAGCTCGCAGTTTGTATGTCTTACTGGAAATTGGAAATTTCTCGCCCCATTGAAGCCATTTCAGAAACCCTAAACAATTCGGTAACTTATATTTAGGTGGAAGTACTTTAAAGAAGCTAATGTAAATAGTGCCAGGACACTTTCGACCACGCGTCGATGGTCTAGAAAATTACTGACAAGATATAGTCATCCATTCGAAGGATTTAAATTTTTCCTTATTAAGGAAAAAATTATTGTTTTTAACGTACATTACTCTAACATCCTAATTTTCTCGCCTCATTTCTTGGAGGTGTAATTTTTGCTTACTTTACCTATAAACGCTCCTTTTTTTTGCAAAGTGATTGTGAGTTTCTACCAGGTCCATGCGGCCTGAAGCGGTTCGGCAAGCGGTGGACCTTTTCTATCACTATGATTTCTACCTCCCCTCCGTGACTTTTGAAGTCCTTGGGAGGTCGGCTTTACCCACCAGAAACAGAACCAAACCAGAACCACTTCAATTCTCGTGGCTAAGGCCCTGTACACACACAATATACAAAAGCACATACACTCACGTTACACAGCAAAAGCAATTACCGTATTCTACCACCCTACACATCTAATTCCATCCCTTTACATACCCCGTATTTAGATACATATACCTTATATATGCCTATATATATAGGAATATATATATATATATATATATATATATATATATATATACGCAGGCACATACACATGCATACCACATACGTATATACATAATTGTTTTGCATCACTGCTTATGTATACATACATATCCACACACAGATACGACATACACATGTATACATAGCCTACACATACATAGGCCTACACAAATTAAATTTAACTTTTAACGACTGAAGCGCCTGTGAACACGTTAAAAACTCAAAAAAAAGTAGCGTACAGCAACACTGCATTCGACGTGTGACCATTAACATAGGACTGATAACTAAATCGAAGAAATCGTAAACAGATAAAATTTAGAGTCACACGACTACACTATCATAAGTATTGATTCATATATTCTGTATTGGATGACATGTCACAAGTGTTCACTTTTTATTGTACGGTTTTTGCAGCAATGGCCAATATCCTTTTAATGGTACATAGTACCGTTCGTGTATTTATCGACGGAAAATCTCCTTAACAATACGCAGGCCGTGTATGATGATCGCATAACCTCAAGGAAATAATGGAATCCCCTGTCGTATTCAGGCGACTAAACTGGTGGCTGAACCCTAGAGATCTCCGGTTCAATTCCATCGCTGCTCTCCTTGTATTTCAGCTGGAGGGTCGAAATACAAGTTACGATAGCGTACCGTCTTTTGGATAAGACAAATATTGACATGATTACGAAGTACCGGTACTTAATCAATGCAAGGAGGTATGAAATAAATAGGTATTGAAAGGTAAACGCTAATGAAGTTTACGCTGTACTGAGCAATTATGTTAATTTTTACCATACGTCATAATATCTTAATAGGGCCTATATTTAAACAGCCATTGTTTAAATTTCCAACATTAAAATCATCGTTTAAAGACATTAAACATCTAATAAATTAAAGAAATTACATGGTAACTATACCGGTATGCGTTTATTTTCCCGTCTTTTTATTTATCAATATTCAACAGCTGCGGATGATTACGTAAGCAATATTACTCAATGCCAATGACGACACTGAGTATGTTAATTTTGACATACGTCATGATATCTAAGTGAATTAGACTTCCATTAGTTAAAATT